CACGGCGAGTGGCTGACGGTCCGGAGAAACGTGAAGATCGCCTCAGGCCCCAAAAGACGGCCTCGTTTTCCATTCCATTCCTTCTCTTCTTCCTCTCTTTCCTCTCTCTCTCTCTCTCTCCTCTCTTCCCTTCCCTTTCCTTTTCCCTCTTGTCATCTTTGGCTCTGCTGTCTCTTTTCTCTCTCCTTCCCCTCTCCCCCCTTCAGCTTCTTCTCCTCTCCGCTCCTCCCGCTCGAGTCTCTTTCCACCCTCCCCTCTCCGGTTCCTCGTTTTCCTTCCGTCTTTCCCTATTCGGTCTATGTCTGTCTCTCCCTTTTAGTAGACGCTTTCTCGTTGCCATCAGCCTTCCCATTGGCCAGGCTGCCGTTGCTTTCATCACTCCTTCAAACGCACGCTCCGATCCGCAGACTCGCCCTCTCTCGCGCGCGCCCCTGCGCTCTCCCACCCCGGTTTTGCCTGTCTACTCGCTCCTTGGGCCCACGCGCTTTTTCCATCAATCGCCTGGCAACCATGAGCTCTTCGGAAGACGATACCCCTCTTGTTAAGGCAAACGGTCGCCGTACCAGTGAGTGTCACTTTTCCTCTCTTTGCTCTCACATGACCCTTTTCCGCCTCTCTTTCACGCCTCAGTTACCCATCACTTCCCTTTGTTTGGGGTCACTTTCGCGACTCAATCACCTCTTTTTGCGCATTGATCTCTTTGATCCCTCATGAATGCGATAAGTCTTACACTTCCTCTTGTTTTTTTAAGGTTCCCACACGGACTCAAAAATGCGCGACGCGACGGAGACAAATGGCCATGTTGATCCAGGCGTATCCATCCGCTTTGGTCCCGTTCAGGCCGAAAACGATGTGGACATGGCCGATGCCGACGCTGCCGCCGTTCCCAAGCGGAAGTCGCGCTCAAGCGTCGGTCAGAGAAAGTCTTACGCCGAACCTGAGAGCAGTGAGGATGATCAACCTTTGGTACGCCGATTACCTCCACGCCAGTTCCTTCGTTCCCCCTACTCTCGCGACGCTATTGCTGTCGCTGTTCGTTCCAGCGGCTGACCAGTCGACAGAGCAAGCGACGCCGCACCTCCGTGAAGCACGAGGACCCCGAAACGGACGATGACGTACCTCTGGCGCTCAATGGAAGAAAGCTTCCCAAGGCGTCGGAAACGGCTATAGGTGAAGAATCCGATTCCGATGTGCCTATCGAAAGAAAACTCGCCTCTCAGAAGAAGAAGATACAGCAGAAGGCAGAGAAGGATGCGAAAGCGACCCGCAAGCAAGCCCCCCCGAAGACTACGAAGGCCACAGCAACCAAGAGACAGGCCAATGGCGTGAAAAAAGAGCCCGAGGACGTGAAGCCTTCGACCGTCAAGAAGACGGCAAAGCCAACCAAGGCCAGTGAGAAGGCTGCGTTGCCTTCGCATGTGAAGCGGGCTGCTTCTAGCGCCAAGTCGACCCCTGTCAAAAAGGAAGAAAGCGAGGAGGCTGAAGACGCCGAGGAAGAAGAGTACAGATGGTGGGAAGACCCGACCAAGGGTGATGGCACGATCAAGTGGACGACCCTCGAACATAACGGCGTGGTTTTCCCTCCTCCGTACGAGCCACTTCCCAAGAACGTCAAGATGAAGTATGATGGCGTCCCCGTCACTCTTCATCCTGATGCTGAAGAGGTGGCTGGCTTCTTCGGCGGCATGCTCAATGCGACTCAGCATGTTGAGAACCCCACCTTCCAGAAGAACTTCTTCATGGATTTCCGAGATATCCTTAAAAAAACTGGTGGCGCAAAGGATTCCAAGGGCAACAAAGTGGACATCAAAGATTTTCACAAGTGCGACTTTCAGCCAATCTTTGCCTACTACGACAATCAACGTCAAGAGAAAAAGGCTTTGCCACCGGCTGAGAAGAAGCGTTTGAAGGCTGAAAAGGACGCTCAAGAGGCCCCTTACATGTATTGTATGTGGGACGGACGGAAGCAGAAAGTGGGCAACTTCCGAGTGGAACCGCCAGCTCTCTTCCGTGGACGTGGTGAGCATCCTAAAACTGGCCGTGTGAAGTCTCGTGTGCAGCCGGAACAGATCACCATCAATATTGGCAAGGATGCGCCTGTTCCGCCTCCTCCGGAGGGCCACAAGTGGAAAGAGGTTAAGCACGATCAAGAAGGCACCTGGCTTGCAATGTGGCAGGAAAACATCAATGGCAACTACAAGTATGTGATGCTTGCGGCCAATTCTGATGTGAAGGGTCAGAGTGATTACAAGAAGTTCGAGAAGGCTCGTGAATTGAAGCATCACATTGATCGGATCCGCAAAGATTATCAGAAGAACCTCAAGCACGAGCTAATGGTCGAGCGGCAAAAGGCGACGGCAGTATACCTTATTGACCAGTTTGCTCTTCGTGCTGGTAACGAGAAGGGTGAAGACGAAGCTGAAACTGTGGGATGCTGCTCTCTCAAATATGAGAACGTTACTCTCAAGCCTCCAAACAAGGTTGTCTTTGATTTCTTAGGTAAGGACAGCATCCGCTTCTATGATGAAGTCGAGGTCGACACCCAGGTTTTCAAGAACTTGAAGATCTTCAAGAAAGCGCCCAAGAAGGAGGGCGACGAAATCTTCGATAGACTGACGGTATGTACTCCGACTGGCTCTTGGATTGCACCGCTAATGGACGCACGTAGACCTCCGCTCTCAACAAACACTTGTCAACCTACATGCAAGGATTGACTGCAAAGGTGTTCCGTACCTACAACGCTTCCCACACTATGTCCACGCTGCTGAAGGACATGAAGGCGACGGGTAATATTGCAGAGAAGGTGAAGGCGTACAATGACGCCAACCGCAGGGTCGCCATTCTGTGTAACCATAAGCGAACTGTCGCTGCATCCCATGCCAATCAGATGGAGAAGATGAGTGAAAGGGTATGTTGACCAGTGGTGAACACTATAGTTGGGGCGCATTGCTAATACTTATTCGCAATATCTTTAGATCAAGGGACTACGGTACCAAAGATGGCGTCTGAAGCAACAGATGCTCGATCTCGAGCCTAGTTTGAAGAAGAAGAGAGGCGCCAAGTACTTCGAGATGGACGAAGACATGGACATGGAATGGGTGAAGGAGCACCAGACCTACCTTGTGGAAGAGCAGCGCCAGAAAATCCAGAAGAAGTTCGAAAAGGACAATGAGAAGCTCGCTGCAGAAGGCGAGAAGGAAATGAAGGCCACTGAGCTGGAGAGCCGTCTCCAGGCAGCAAAAGATATGGAGAAGAAATTTAACAAGGAGAACAAAACCGGAAAGGTGGAAGCCGAAGGCAAGTCTCCGACGGTTGATAAGCTCGAGGCAGCGATCACCAAGCTCGAGCAGCGCATTGAAACGATGGAGCTTCAAGCTCAGGATAAGGAAGAGAACAAGGAGGTCGCCCTAGGAACCTCGAAGATCGTAAGTTTCTGTCCCTTGCTTTGGTTGATGTTTCTTGATCGACTAACACCACATAGAATTACATCGACCCTCGTCTCACTGTAGTTTTCAGCAAGAAGTTCGATGTTCCTATTGAGAAGTTCTTCTCCAAGTCCCTCCGGGAGAAGTTCGAATGGGCCATCAAGTCGGTCGAAGAGGATTGGGAATTCTAGATTCCCTCGACCGCGTCGCATCTTAATTTCGCGAATCCTCCCCGCTCGATCCATTGAGCCTGACTCCGGATGCAGAGTGTTTCCTTGTTCTATTTTCCTTTATTATATTCTTTGCCTACACCGGTGGTAAAACGGATTGTCTTACGCATAATGCATTTTTGGAGCCTTATATTATTGTTCTTTCTCCTACTTTTCTCTCTTTTTCTTCTTTGCTCGCCACATCTCTCTCCCAAAAGCCACCCCTGCCTTCTTGTCGCTGTACACCCCGCTTCAATTTACTGTCTCGATTCATTATGATGAACATGCAAGAGGGCTTATCTTCAGCATCACCAGTTTGCTTGCCCACCTCTGGTCTTGGTTCTCGCTATGTCTTGGACATTTCTCCCCTTTCGTTTCAAGTTTTAGCCCTCCATTGACCCTGCAGATGAAGATAAGAACAAAGAAAAAGAAAAAGAGTTATACATCCGGGAAACTCGATACATCTATCAACATATTATCAATATATACAGAATTACACAAGGCATCTGAACGTTATACTAGAGGTAACATGAAATCACGAGTCTATGTAACTAGCTTGATAGCTTAGTGCTCATTAGCAATCGTCTATAAAATTTGACGACGAAACCGCGTCATGTTAAGTGTAATTCTTAGCTTGCTTTTAAACTTCTTCAAAATCATAGTAGTATCAGATCGTTCATGTTTGTGTGCTGCAGTGGCAGTGTTTATAGGTTCGTCCGGAGCTAGCCAGTATAATAATAGTTGGCGAACAAACTTAGCCTAGATCAAAGCTGCTATTATATAGTTACCATGCTACTAAAGCGGCCTGTTGCAAATCATGTGATGCAACAAGGATATGGCACGGAGTAAATATATGATGACGCTATATTCCAGTTTCTGGGCGCTAAATTTTCAAGATAGAAGGGTTCTGAGCGCTAGCGATCGGCATCCCACACTTATAGCTGACCTCAAGAGTTCTGTCATGCATCGTGGAAGTGGAGAGTGAAGAGAATATGAAGGGTTCAGGCAATACATCAGAGTAAAGGGTGAGAGGGGAGTGGTTGGGCATGCATCCAAAGTACGCAGGTTGAGACAACCTCATTATGTAGATAATGGTGAAAGGCGGCCATGAGGGATGACAGCCTGAGGTTAACATTCAAGGACAAGGCTCAACCTATCCGTAGTGTATGTAGTGCAACAGATAAAAGAAGAAAGATATAAGTAGTCTAAGATGTGCATGATGTTCATAATCAAAAGGGCACACCATCCAGCCCCAGCCAGTGACAGAAGAATGTATAAATGCAAGAAGGATATAGAACATACCAGTTGCTCAAGAACGGAAACCCAGAGACCCAAACAGAATATTACAGATTACATGCAGGAACGGTCCGTGGTATACAACATGCGAACTTGAGATGAGTGGATGGATGCGGATGCGACAGGTCTATGTGCTTTTTGCCCGAGGATAAGGTCGAATTGGTGTGTTCTGAGAGGGCAATGCGTGGTCATGCACGGTGGGAGTAGGAATAGCTCTCATATGCGTCATCAACCTCGCTGTTATGCTCGTGTAGAAGGCCGGGTCGAGAACATGAAAACAGGAATATCACGTGTGGGGTCGTCTATGGCCACCAGCCCATTCGCTTGTAACTTTCAACCATGTCTCGTACGGCATCGGCGTCGAAGCGCTCTCGGGATGGCTTCCATCCAGTGGTCGTCTCGAATAGCGTCCCATCCAGACACATGTCTTGGTCCTTCAGTACATCCTTTTCCAGGAATGGGCCAATGGGTCCGGGCCGTTCGATCTTCTTCTCTTCGAGCAAGTCAGCCCATCCCTGTAAGCATTCCTCGTTCATGTCATCCACAACATCATCAAGGTTCAGCTTCGCGAATTGGGAGGCTAAAGAGCCCAAGAAGTCACACTTGAGCTTGAAAACTTCAGTCAGGGCCCTTGCGATATCTTCCTGGCGAGTATCGCCGTGGTCGACCACGTTGAATGCAAGGGGCGCTGAACCGTCCGTGGGAGCGTTTGCTCTCCACTCAGCCGCTTTCCACAAGGCGCTGGCTGCGTCCCTGACATATACGGTGTTGATCTTCAGATCCTTAGTGTAAAGAAGCTCCAAATCCTTCTCGAGCTCCAGGTGAACGCGAGCAAGGCATATTCCCATCGCGAAGTAGCCCGAGTCGTATTCTCCGTAGACGTGGGGCAGACGAAGCAAGCAATAGTTGAGACCGGGGATTTTTTGCAGCTCCTCGCTGGCCTTCATCTTCCACTTGGCCAGCTTGTGCCACGGCTGCAGTTTATCATCTTCCTTACGCGGACTCGAACCGCCTTTGTAGACGTGAGCGGTTGAGCACTCGACGAAAGAGCGGATACCTCGGCGGGCGACTTCGCGACCCAAGGCGACTGTGAGGGCGTAGCTGCGGACTTCGTAGACGTCATCGGGTTGCGAATGCCTGGTTTCACCTCCACAGTTGATCACATAATCAAATTGTTCGCCATTGGCACGGTCAAAGATACGAGGGAAGTGCTCTGAGTTTCGAGGCGCAGGTCAGTAAGACTATTGTCCTGGTCGCATATGACATAGAAAAGTTGTATTGCACTCACGTTCGCGGCTGGCATCCGCCTGGACGAATTTATCTTTTGAGCAAGCTTCCTGGAACTCAGGGGCCAACCAGGCCAGCTGAGGCAGGACTTTGTCAACTAGTCGGACTTCCGAGGCCAAGTTATTTTCATGCAGGTAAAGAGCGAGATGGCGACCGATAAATCCTATAAGATAGATAGAAATGCGTATGTTAGCTAGGATAATCTGGATATCGGGAGAAGAGAGAGAGGGGAAGAGGGGTGCATACCTAAACCACCAACGATCAGGACGGCCGGCTTTTTGGTCTGTTCGTCGGCCATTGTGGGAGGAGAATGATAGAGTAAGGAGGTTTGAAACCAAGATAGGACCACTCTGTGGTACTTTTCTCTTCAAGTAGCCTCGATGCGATCTGTGGATTGCTGGCTGTGTTGACACCCCGCACCCGAGCGCGAACAAAATCGAAGAATGCGGGGAGGAAAAGGGGGAGGGGAAACAGAGAGAGGATCACCAAGTAAGGGACAAAAAAAGGAGCTCGATGGCAGTTAATCCGATGTAGTGTTTTACCGACGGCAAGAAGTCACCGAAAGGTTTGAGGTGAAATCCACAGGGGGTGTTTGAAGGGGAGGAAGAAAAGGAGGAAGCGGAAGGAAGAATGGGAAGAACGTAAGAAGAAGAGGAGGAGAAAGAGGAGGAGGAGCAGGAGGAGCACAGGATGATCCTTTTCCGGGATTAAAGACCATTTATCAGAATCACCTGCTCTCGCTCAGATCAACTTCAGTCCCAGGCCCAGTTTCAGTCCACTTCTCCTCCTCCTCCTTCAGGAATCTCGTCATACACTCAACTCAAAGCTAGATAGATAAAGAAACGAGCTAATAATTCATAGTCATACCCTTAAGACTGTCATGGCTTGACCATGGCTGCACTACCCTGTTCACTATCGTCCCCGACTGAGACAGCTGCCCTCTTTCGACAACAGTCGGAAATAGTGATGTTCTTGTTGCTGATACTCAATCTCACTTCTCTCGTCTGACGGCTAGAATGGTCTTCCAACCCTCAAAGAGAAAATCTAGAACTCATCGAGGATGCCCAGATGGCGAATGCATTGCACTTACTGACTATAACTGGCCTCAGATAACCCCTCCAAACACACTATTCTTCCAATGGCAATAATCCAACATTAGCCCTTGGCAAACTCCTCATTAACTACAATCAAGCTCCATCTTTCATTATTATCGTCCGTCACCCTATGAATTCCCGGAGGCCGAGAAACACAATTACCGCGGATAACGCTGGACGACCGGAAGCACAAGTGAAAGTCTCTCTCATTCTCTTACAAACCCAAGCGTATGCCGAACGAACTCCGCTAGCGCTGCGTCTAGAAATTTCGCCAACACAGTGGATGTTCCCGCTGGATTATCCCTCGTACAGTAGTGGGAAATTTAGAGTCCTCGGGAGACCCGACCAGAGCCGACAAATTAATTCTTCATCTCCTCCCCTGCCAAGCGCGCGTTGTGGGACGTTTTCCGTTCTTCAGGGACACCGTCCGATCATAGTCCCGCCGCTTAAGTGGGTAGCAGCAGGCCTAAGAGGCTTAGAGGCTAGGGGGGTGGGTGGAGGAACAAAGAGGGAGGGGGGCTCGCACAACGAGATGGGGACTGCAGGAAGAATCGAAGACGCGAATCCCTTCGGAACATGAAAGGTCCAGAATAAGCAGACGATCACTCGCCACCACAATAAGGCGAACGTATCATTCCTAATCCCCGAAAAGTGATCGCGACACGGCCAGACGGGAGCAGCGCGAAGGCAAGTGTATGATCACCTACAGGGAATAATCAAATGATCTGCGTCTCATATTACGAGTCAGGGCTGGTGGGGAATCGTTCCAAGATCATTAATATTATTGTGCGTCGCGCAGTTAGTGTTTCTTTTTCTGCGCATAGCTTCGGCATCTGACTTCCAGCAACGCACTCTGGCGGATTAAGAAAGGCCCAAAGCCAAAGCCGCTCACTGTCACCTCCAGACTCCAGAGAAGCATCCAAGCACTACTTTCCTGCCACCATTTATTGCCGGCGATTATTCCCGACAGTGACAAGCCCGATGGTGGAAAGGTAAAAGCGGACGCTATTGACTTTGATTCCAAGTTTTACGGATAACAGATGGTCTAGTCGGCGCGCGATTCCAAATGCGCTTCGTGCTTTCGTCTGCTAATGGATCTTTTTACTCGACGGGGTATCATGGCTCGCCCCATATCCTACCGAATCAAGACAGCCAAGCTCTACGGCAATGCTGGCCTATTTCGTTTCTAGCATGGCATCTGTTACAACGCCGCCAATAATGATGCTGACGATGATGCGAATGGTTCTACATGCCATTGCCGACAATGCAGTCGGTGTACACTTGTCCACGTAAACCCCCAATCCTTCAGGAAGGATCGGAGATGCCTCGGCATTTGCAAATACTTACTTTTTTAGTCAAAAAAATGAAACTAAGGCAGGAAGGGAATTGACGTCAAAAGCCTGCCGTTAATTCTCCGACCTTTTCCTTTTTCCTTTTCCCCAGGCGATGTGCTTTGCTGTACCATGGACCGTGGCCGATCGTCAGCCCGTGGTTCGTGCTGGACTTAGCTATCCTACACTACTGCCGTGCACTTCATGCAACTAGAGGAGTAGCTGGAACTTTATACACAGTACGAAACCTGGTCACCACACCATCCTTATGCTCTGCACGGTGTTGCCTACCCGCTTCCAGACTAAGCCCTCTTTTCTTGCCACTAATCTATCCGTACTACTATGCCCTCTAAAAAGGACAAAAACATGTGACAAACAATATGCTACCGGAAAATTCATCCCCACCAATACCATGAAACACCTGGTGACACTGAAATCAATATCTAACCCTGGGGTAAGTTATATCCAGTGGGTAAGTTATATTCAGTAAGTACGGAGGTAGTGGTGGGATCAAATCATACCAATTTCACAATTGTACTTACGACGGGATAAGAAAAAGTTCTCTATTTTTGCCTAGAGCCTGTACTGCAAGGCGGTTTATCATTTCTACTTTCGAGTAGTAGTTGCCACAATCAAGCCCTACACGGGGTTTGATACTATCACTATACGGGATTTGGACCGGCCTCTTAACTCAGGTTCTAGATTCAAGTTCTACATGACAGGGACTGTAAAGTTTACTAAAGCCTAGCCTAGCTCTAGTTACCATACTGTGAATTCAAGAGCTTTTCCTCAACTTATGCCCAACTGTAAACAACGACCCTGTCCAGCCAGAAGACATGCAAACCAACCCAGCCCCAGTATGTAAAAAGGGTAGACAGATAGACACCAACCGAAGAAGCAGAAGCAGTACAATCAGCAAGTCCCAACATGAAGCATCACTCTAATCTTAAAGACCGCTCCGGCGGAGGAAGCTTCATCCTGTGCATCCGCTTCAGCCTGCCATGCATTCTCCAATTCCTGCAACATAATGAGCAGATCCTCATTACATTCGCGACGCACCCGAATCTCAAAGTCCGACCAGTCAAACCTGACCGACGCAGCGGAAACCTGAGGCGGCATGGAATCCCATTTTAGCTGCGTTGAGGGGCTCCACTCCATCACGTTGCACTGTTCCGCCATGTGCTCTAGGAACTCCGTGGCCTGAGCAGCGAAATCCGTGAATGGCAGCCACACGGGAGCCATTCCAACTTGGTTGCTTGCTGTGACGAGGAATTTGGTGTCCTTTGCATACTCAGATGTAGTCATATTGATTTGGTTGTTGCTTTCTGTAACAGGGGATTTGGTGTTGTTCTTGGCTTCTGTCGCCTGAGGATACTGAGGAGCAGCAGTCATGCTAACGTGGTTGCTGTTGCTCTCTGTGGTGAGGGATTTGGTGTCCTTTGTGTAGTTAGGGGCAGCACGGTGTACGAATGTTCCCTGGGCCGGAGCAAATATACTCTCTTTCCCTTTGGGGGTTTTCAATTGGACCTCTGGGGTTCCCTTGGAGCGGTTAGCTAGAGAAGCGCGCTGTTTCTTGAACTTCTTCGCTGTATTGTTCAGAATTTTGGCCTCGGGCTCAGAGTCAGAGACGATTGCCTTAAATGGTCGAATGGTGTTTGGGGTACTGCGGGTCCGCGCCTTGTATACAGGCTTGTCGGTGCCGTCCTCGTCTGTCTCCTTGACAGTAGATTTCCTCTTCTTGGTACTAGCTGTTTCGAAGGGTGATTTGACCGGCTGTGTTGGCTGACCGTTCCATAAAACGTGTCAGTACTTAATGGAATACGAACAGAAAACAAAATATCAGACCTTTGCCTTCTCTAGACTTAGTCTGGAATAGTTCTTCGCCTTTCTGAGTAGCAGAATAGCAATTGTTCGAGCGATCCTATACAAGAATCAGTACAGTCAAGTCATTCGGGAGCAATCCATGTTAAAGTAAGTAAGAAAGAGCGAAAGAAGGAACGAAGAACGGATTTGAGTAATTGAAGAAGAAGAGAGAAACTTACTCCTCACTCTGAGCCGGATAAGTGCAAAGCGTCTTCTCATCGGCCAGGGATTCTTCCTGTAGATACTTCTTTCTGTTCGCTGGAGTTCCCCAGTACTTCAGACCATACTCTTCAACGAAACTCTTAGCGCAGTTGTCTCGTTCGTCCTTAGAGTTGAGGATCTCGGTCCATTCGAATCCGCTCTGCTCAACATGATCCTTCACCAGACCAAGGAACTCTCGGCGGTACTCTTCCTTGAGGTCCAGGAAATGAACAAACTGTTGGTCACGCCAAGAAGGCTTGACTTCCCCGCGATCTAAGAGCTCTTTCATTGTTTCGGCATCACTGCTGGAGCCGGCAGGGCTTGAGGCAGAAGACATTATGACGTTCGTACTTGGGTCTGGGGTACGGTCCCGGTGGGGGTACGTGAAGGGGTTGGTTGGGAGAGAACGAAACATGAGGTGTCAGTGTGTATGCTGGAGGTAGGGGTAGAGGGGAGAAAGACGCGGGGAGGATAGGATTGGGGGGAGAAGGTAGGGAAGAAGAGGCGAGCTCTTGCCATGCTTATATAGTATCTGGTGTTGAGGGGCGAAGTGAATGTGAGTGAAAATTCGTCGCTATAGCGATGTGAGGGGTTTGGTGCCTGTTGGGAAGCAGAGGTGAGAGTGAGAGATATTTAATTGGAAGAAGAAGTAAACATAGAGGAATTCAGTGCTTAGAGAACTCACAACGTGATCCTGTGCATGTTGTAGAACAAGTACGATCATTGTCAATCATGCTGCAGAGAGGCCTGTTTGGCAATTGAGCCATGTTGGACTAGACTCTGAACTGATTATCGACCCCGGCCAGGAACACGCAGGCTTATGGGCCATGTTGATAGACGCTGAAGACGCTGAAGACATTGGGTAGAAGACATATCAGAAACAACAGGCAAGTAGAAAGCAGGAGGTAATAGTTGAAGAACGAAGATGC